TTCTTGATGAATGTACAGGGTAGTATAGTCAGTATAGTATAGTAGTCTAGTCGTATTTATATGTGGCTATGGCTTTGCTGTACTTCATCTTACGTCTGAGATTGACAGTCGATTCAAATCTGATGAACGCCAAAAATAGTGGGGCAACACGCCATTGCAAGCTGAAGAACTGTTTTCCTTCAAAGTCGCCCTTCTCGATACCAAGCTTCTGCAAGTACCTTGGTTCAAAGCACAAGGGATCAGGCAGCAACAAGGACATGACATGGGCCTTTGTGACATTCGTTTGAACTCTAGACCCAAGTGTGGGCATTTGTGCAAGAAAGACATGTCCTTAGAAAGCTTCATTGGCAAAACCAAGGCACTTCTTCACCCAGTACTCTGGAAACAACGTGTAGAGGTCCCTCACGCTGGTGCTTTTCACCTGAGCATCAGCTTTGGCAACCCCCATGGCTCCCGTGTTCATGTCCAGTCAATGTGAATATGACATCCTGCATCCGTGAACCCGCCACAACCGATGGCTGACCCTGGAGAGTTCCCCACTTTTGCAGTCCGAGTTTCAGTGGTATCGGACTCATTAGAATCTGCTGTACTCCCGCCGGCCTGAGAACTTGAGGATGTAGATGTAGCAATTGAATCCTCAGCCAAATCGGCTCCTATGCTCGCTGAAGCCAATCGGAAATTGATTGTAGCCTATAGGTACATGGACCAGATAGGCCTGTAGGGCTTACATGCCCACAAAGACGCCTGTCAGTTATGAGTCATGAGTCATTGGCTGTCACAGGCTTGTGCCCGGCCCGGCCCTTCCCTTCTGCTTTCAAGGCTCTCCACTCTCACTTTGCTTGTCTGAGTCTGAGCCATCACTGCCATCACCGAAAATGGTAGAAAACGGGCGTTTCATGGCTCGATACGTGACCGGAAATGACTGCAATGAAGCCAGCACTAAGTTAGAGCTAAACATTGAAAGTCACTGGCCACAATGAACAACTATTTTGGCCATATGTCATATGATCATATGACTTTGACTCATGACTTTGTGCTTGAAACTTCGGGGCATTCTGCCACTGGTGTTGATCCTTTACGAAATCTGCACATGGAGGTTCACCAAGTGCTGCACCTGCCACGAAATCTGCACATGGGGCAGGTGCAGCACTTTGCGCACCTCCATGTGCAGATTTCCTGGCAGGCAGCACTTTGGGAACCTCCATGTGCAGATTTCGTGGCAGGTGCAGCATTTTGGGAACCTCCCTGTGCAGATTTCGTGGCAGGTGCAGCACTTTGTGTACCTCCATGTGCAGATTTCCTGGCAGGCACAGCACTTTGTGTACCTCCATGTGCAGATTTCGTGGCAGGCACAGCACTTTGTGAACCTCCATGTGCAGATGTCGTGGAGGTGCAGCACTTTGTGAACCTCCATGTGCAGATTTCGTGGCAGGCAAAACACTTTGTGAACCTCCATGTGCAGATTTCGTGGCAGGTGCAGCACTTTGTGTGCCTCCATGTGCAGATTTCCTGGCAGGCACAGCGCTTTGATAACCTCCATGCAGATTTCGTGGCAGGTGCAGCACTTTGTGCACTTCCTGGAAGGCACAGCACTTTGGGAACCTCCATGTGCAGATTTCGTGGCAGGTGCAGCA